AACACAGCAAACATGGTAAATGAGACTTATGGGTATGGCTGAAGGATAGAGTGGCTCAGCAGCAAATACAAAAGAATAAACTTACATTTTTTTAGGGAGGAAGACGCAATACTCAAAAGTCAAGTGGAAATCAAGCTGTGGTTGTTGGGGCTTGGTTTTGGTCATTTGGTTTTTTGTTTTGGAGTTGATTTCTTTCAGCTAGACAGTATGAACAGACCTTTTGAGTGTAATTCCAAGTGTATGGTTTAATTTTTGCTGGTAAGACTGTAATAACTACTTTGGGTTTATTGCTGCAAAGCTGTGTAGAGTGGTAAAACTCCAGTATAGGTGAGTCACACATTATCAGTCATCTGTGGAAGTGGAGCCCCAGAGCTGTGAATGGTTAAAATTCAAGCTGTAGGAGTGATTTAATTTTTTTAGTTTCTTTTTTTTTTTTTTGACTCAGATAAGGAAACTCTGGTAGTGTTGTGTTTGGATGTTGCTGCAGAAAGAACCAGCAAATGATAGTAAAGGACAAGGAAAGAAAGGAGTATTACCATCCTAAAATAAGCTTGATAAGGGAGTAAACAGAAATCCACAGCTTCCTCACAGGGTTACCACTTAGCTTGAATTCAAGGAGGGACTTCCTTGCAGAAATATGCACAAAGCAGGCTTCTGTACTGGGAGGAAATCTAACATAGAGCTTGTATTTGCAAGCATTAGCTTATCACATTCCTAACTGAAACTTCAGAGCTTATACTTGAGAAAGGTGGAGCTGGAAGCCCAATTTGACTACTCTGAGGCATTTTTTTCTAACAAAAGTAACAGGATAGGCATCTACATTTTAAATAAACCTCTGAGTGTACATCATGCTATTGTTCTAATCACCAGCCATGGCAATATTAAGTAGCACCAAGCAAAGCCTACTTGCGTGGTCAAAAACCAGAGCAGCCTACTTGATGAGAAAATGCAGCAGCTTGCAAATGAAGTTTCATTGACCTGTGAAGGTCTAAGAATTTAAAATCTCAATTTGTAAATCCTGTAGGAGTCACAATAATTCCCACTAAACTTTTATCTCTAGTTTAAAATTATGTAAGTATTGTCAGCTAAAGATGTACCAGTCACTATAAATTGTAAACTATTACCACCTTAGAGAGGGGGAAATAAGTGCAGAGAAGTGAAACTATGGTTTTATGTTGTACAGCTTGTCTGTTAGTAGAAACCAAAGAACCACTGCATTCTGGTTTTTTCCTATTACTTTAACCACCCACCTGTTTCCTTTCTGCTTTTTGAAATGCACATGACCTTTAAAGTTCCCAAAATATCAAGACCAAGCTCCGCAAGTTCGGTATTTTTTGGGTTTGAGCAGTTGGTGGTCTTGACTGAGGTCTTAGATTAGGCAGATAACTGCTTTTGAACACTGGGTTTAAGATGCTGCTTCTACTACTGCCTTTTCATGCATTGGGTTTTGAGACAGACACTGTACAGATCTCCAGCCTTGTTAAGAGAAAAAGGAAAATCCCTAGGATTTCACTTCAAAGAAATCATAAAGTAAAACAAAGTTTCCTGGCTCTCAAAAAGGTTGGCTAAGGAAACTAAGCACTTATGATGCAACATGTGTGATTCACTTTCTTTTTAGTACCTCTTGAACCCACTATAATATAAAATATACTTGAAATTTATTTGAAAATCCATAGCAGAGACGTATCAACACCTCTTCAATGGAAAAAGCAGGGACAATTCAGCTGTTCTGCTAGAGTGTTTATCAGTTGGGTTTTTTCCTGTGTTCTCTCTAAAATTATAAACTATTTTTAATTTTTTTATTAAATTGAGCAATAGCCTAAAGTCTAAAGAGCAAAAGTCTAAAGGAGTATAAGTAAATTAAGGAGAATATTCACTGATATCTCCCTGAATGCTCGGTCAGCCTTCAGGAGTTTGCAATTCAATGACTTCCTGTGCCAGAAGTAATTTCTGTGCATTAATAGCCATCTATGGATTTCTCTTTCATGAATCTGTCCCCATGGGCACACCTGCAGGAAGGCAAGCTCCATTAGTTCTACCATTCTCAGAAGAGTCAATCTTTAGTTTTCTGTCATTGTTGCTATAACAAAAGTTGATTCTAACTAGTATAATAAAACATTTTTTACTTTGAGAAAACAAAGACTGTATCCTTATCTCCAACCATTGTGAATATTCCCTTTTAAGGGTGGCATCAGTTGGTCTTTCTTCCTAACAGTAATGAACTTGACATTTTTTCTGGGAGTGTTGTTTTATTCCAGTGGCTTTGATTTGCATGAATATTCAGTGGTCCCCATTGGACTGGCTTCAACAGGTGAATGGGCCTAATGGTTAATGATGTTTTCTGGTTATTTGGTAACAAGATTTAACAAATAAATGCTTAGAGACTTCTTGCTGAAAGGGCTTGGAGACGTCAGCAAGCATATCAAGTGCCTCAGTACCAGAAACAGAAAACAGCTGGCATACTGCAAAATCAGGGCTCGCTCTTGGCCAGTGAGTAATGGTTGGGTGGTACTTCCTTCCCACTGACAGCAGTGCAGGTCACTGTCCATTTAGGGCAAATGCTTTGGCCAGTCTTCAGAGCCTCAAGACACTTCCTGTGCCTGAGGGACTGTGCTAGCAGTGACCCTGGGATTCTGAGTTGTTACAAGTCACTGCAAAGCTGGCATAGGTGCTCACAACTGCTCAGCCTCTTGCTTCTAAACCAGGCAGAACAGAAGTGCTGCAAAGATGTGAAATTAAACATTTAATGACTTGGTTACTGCTGCTTGCTTCTCACGTTATGTCTTTTGCAGGCTCTTTGTTTCCTTTTTCTGTATGAAGGTTTTTCCATTTATTTGGGCCAATTGTGCTACAGGTTCTTGCAATCCTCTCTGGTTCTTAAGTGTTTTTGGCTTTAAAAACTTGATGTTGAGTGTAATATTGTCTACTGCTGAGCTTGTATCAGCAAGACATCAGGCAGGAGAATGGACAACAAACATGCTGCGTGTTTGAGATTTTCAAGTATCCCTGATCCAGCTGACAATAAATTTATCCAAGAACTGGAATGCTGCTGTTCCAGCAGGTATATATGTGTTCAAGGCTAACTAAGAACTGCACAGAGCACAGTTTACAGAAGGAAATTATGAGGAAAATATCAAGCTTTTTATTTCAAATTTAACTGCTGGTTTCTGGAGGGGGAAAAAATAGGTCATCTGTATAGTTTTCAGTGTCTCTCTTGCCATTTAACTTAATTTGGGAGTTATTTTGTGTTCATGTGCACTGATTCCTGTCTAGGCCATTGTCTGCAGAGTTTCTTACACTTCTTAAACCAAAGGTCAAATGTTGTCAGCCTGTACCTCATGTAACCTCAACACAGACACCAGACCTGGAAGAAGAACGATGAGTGGGGGAATTACACACAACTGTTCAAAATAAATCCTTCTGGAAGCTTTTTGAGGCAACCTTTTCTCTCTCTCTCTTTTTTTTCTTTTTTTTTTTTTTTTTTTTTTTTTTTACAGGAGTAGTTGCATGGAGAAGGGAAGCAGGGCTTGGTTCTTTTATGTCACTAATGCTATATACAAAATCTTTTTTTTTTCTAGTTGCCCCACTCAATGTTACAGCGACAATTTGCAGAAGGAAGCAAAATGCAATATAACATGTGTGGTCCTTAGCTGTTCTCAGAGCACAGGCTCTCTGCTCTGTCTCATGATTTAGAACTTAACAGATTATAGTGTGACTCTGAGGGGTTTAAGTTGCCTTCAGTTATGAGTAAATCAAGATATTTCTGAGAATGCATTATCAAACAGTGTTTATTGCTTAGAAAAATGTGTTGATCTCTGAGCTGCTCCTTGGTCTTAGTGTGAGAATTAGTAGCTCTAGGGAAAAGAGATAATGATCCTTGTAGTTAAGCTGCTGCTTAGGACTCTGGAAACAGTTTTTAATTCACAGCCTTGTATAATGTTATATAAATAATATAAATTACGTAGAGCACATTACATCAGTAAAATGGGACAAAGCCTCCTTGATTTGCAGGCTTGACATGCCAGTTTGTTTGGTGGATGTATAAACTACAACTCCTTTGCAAAACCAAAAACTCATCAAAATCTGAGTGTGATTGCTTTTATTATCAATGGTGAAAGTTTTATCAGTAGTCTTTTTTGTTAGGATGGGGGCAGTATTATTTAGAATCTGCATGTCTTTTTCAGAGATGATTAATTTTATGTATTCCTGGTTACACTTTGCTTTCAAAGATGATCAACTGTCAAGTGAAGTGTGAAATGTTTAGTGTCCATGCTGTGAATAATGTTTTTTTGGACATAATTGTCATTAATTTTGTTGGCGTGGGAAGGTATAGTCAGATGTGGGCACTGTTAAGACATATGATATCTTATTTTGGTGTAACGTTGCTAGTGACTTCTAAGTCTTTCCCAGGAGGATTGAACAGAATCGGGCATAATGCTAATCTGATGTCTTCATTCCCATTTGTAGTCCCAGTGTGGGGACATACTGGCCAAGCTGAGTAGTCTCAGTCTCCTATAACACACCAGATACATTCCTCCCCCGTCCAGGGGGCTTCCCTGCAAGGGATCTGTATCATTGGCATATGCATGTATATTTGCTGCTCTGGGACTTCTGCCACTGGAATATCCCATCTGGAAACATTTCATTTTCCTAATGAATATGTCATAAGGCAGTCTTAATTATTGTCTGTCTAGGCCTTCTCTAGTTAGATCTTACCCTCCAATTTCTTCAATATTTTTCTATATAATCTACCATGTGCATGTGCAACTTTGTTGTATTGCTGTAGATGCCCTTTTCTTAGAAGCAATATGCTGTCTTTTGGCTTTTCTGACCTTGCAGCCCTTTGATCTCTAAGGCACAGGAGATCCTCTACTAAAAGGGAAACAACAGAATCAGAAGTGGTTGTAGTTTGGGATTTTACCAGCCAGAAGTGGAAATACCAGTCACATGAACTTGCCTTTAAGGGGTTTGTGGGATCTCATGTTATTCTCTCTTTGCAGGGTATCATCCAAGCCTACAAGAGTGGCATAACCCTCCAGGGAAACACCACTAGCCTGGGCAGGTGGGACTACAGTGGGTCTTTCTTCTTCTCCATATCTGCAATAACAACCGTTGGTAAGAGTTCCCTGCTTACAGGGCCACCTCATAGGTGGGAAAAGAGTGGGAATGGGGGCCTGTGCTCAGATGCTGCTCCAGCACTGTGTGGTTCCCTGGAGCTGGCAGTAGGGAAGCACCCATGAATCCAGCCCTAGGAGTGCTTTGTCAGTGCCAGTGCAGTAATGATCTCTAACTGATCAGACATAGGGATAATTAGCTCAGGACATATTCCTGGTGAGTTACATGGCTTCTGGGGCCTGAACTTCGTGGTGCTGTGCTGCCTGGACTTTCCCAAGTCTTGTGCACTCTAAGAAGTCTGAGGTGAATTGTGCATTGAAATGGCATTTTCCAATCACAAGGACAGGAATGATTGTGGAAAAATCTTAATGCTGGCTATTGCATCTTCAGAAACTCTATTTATGAATTATTCCTCCTTATTATTACCTGTATTAAATGAGGACCTGCTTGTACAAGTGGAAGTTAAGTAACTGGATCAACATCACAATTCAGTTGACTCGGGTTTCAGTAAATGGGTAATGCAAAGCCACGAAGATATTATGGAAATAAGTAGGGGGAGAGAAGGTGGAAAAAATAAAATGTACTAGGTACAGAGCTAGTTAAGGCAGATGCTGTTAATTATTGTCAGTTCATGTCCCGTGTCCCCAAAACCATTAATAACTTGCCCTGATGTCTTTTTCTTATGGTGTGACCCAGTATTAAAAAAAAACATGTAGGGGAAAGTATGTGGAGAGGTGGTTGTTTAGTATCAAAATCCCTCACAGGTTTCTTGATTTGTCAGCTCTCTTCAATTTTAAGTATATTTTTAAATCAAGATTTCTCTTTTTGTACCCAAATGGAACCTTCTTTGATTGCTGATTGTTTTTGAAGATACATTGGCTCCAGAACACTAAGCCCCCAAGCATGAGCTCAAAGAAAGAGAGGGTTTGTGGGTTTTCTGTGGGGGTGGAGGCGAGTGGGTGGTGGTGTGTCATCTTCCTGTGACTCAGTACGTCTTTCTGCCCTGCTCTTTTGCACATGCATTGTTCTGGATGGGAACATGCTTTCAACGTGCTGCACTGCCAGGCAAGGGTTGCACCAGATGATGGCAGTGGAGGCTCATCAGACAGGGTTACTCAGGCTGTGGGTTTCCAGCAGAGCCTGGTCAGTTCCTTCCGGCCTTTGGTACAAAGCAGCATCTGCTTAGAGCTGCTTTGCAAGCCTCAATGCAGTAGTGAATCCTGATGAGTTTCTAAGCCATCAGTGACTGTTTCACCATAGCAAATTTATGTTAATGATATTCAGGAGGAATCAAATTTATCATGTAAAAAAATATAAGGGGATGTTGTGATGTTGGTGGAGACCTTTCTGTTCTTCTATACTAAGAGTAGCTGCTAAGCTACTCTTCCAACCCCCTGCCCCCACTCCCCTCTATTTTTAAGTAAACTCTTTGCCCTGATGGTTATAGGGAAGGAGGACAGAACAGGGCATGACACAACTGAGTTGATAGCAGAGGCAATTGAAAATTGAAAAGAGCCAAATCTTACAGCTCTTTATCTCATGGTTTTAAAGCTGGTGCTATGACTGATGTGATAATGATTTTCAATTGTGGATTTGAGAATGCCATACAAGCCACTTCTATGCAGAAAACTTCAGGTGACTGGACTCTTCATTCTGCTTTTTCAAGTGAAATTGTTAGTTGCATACAGATTAGTGTCATAACACTTTGTTGATAACAGTATGTTGTAGAAGAGGAAACTAGAAATGGTTTCACAGACCCTCACCGTGAGTCTATCATAATCTCTCTTTATGCAAATTCTTGAGGTAGTTGAGGGGTTCAGCCACAGTGAGGATACCACGGTGTGACTTGGAAGGATAATTGACTATGGCAAGTAAAGAGACAAGCTCCTTTCCAAAGAACTCTATGAAGTTCAAAGGGGTGAGTCACAATATGTATAAGGTGTGGCAATGAGATAAATGACAATTGAGAAGGCTTTTGGAGGATTTGTAGAGGTTTTAGTGTTCTTACATAGCAAGTGAGGGTTTATCTCAGGCTGTGATTATGGAGCCAATGAAAGCAGGTTCATCTGCACAAGATTAGCCTATAGGAATTAAAACCCAAGGCATTCTGGCAAATGAGTTCAGGAAGGGTAGAGTTAAGATAATAATTCAGAAGAAAGATTCTTAGGAATTTAGGGGTACTATATGAAGATTTTGAAGAATATAGATGGCCTCTATTCCGTGTGTTCCAGCTGCTGCAAGTCCTTTGGCTTGTTTGTCTCTTCACATTTTTTCTTTGCAATTAATGCTATCTATGCCTTGCTGGCCTCTTATGCAAAATAACATATTTGTGACTCTTGTCCTTAAGTCTTCTCAAACAGTTCTGCCAAAACCACTATCACTTTTACCTTAATCAATTTCCTTTGAGATGCTCTTTCTGTTCTGCCAGCTTCTGTATTCTGCTTTAACATCCCCTCAGAAGGCTAGGTCCATTTCTCAAGTCCTTACCAGAGCACTTTCTCACTGGGATACAGGAGGGGATGTTAACTTCTTTCCCCATTAACACCAACTGAGGGGCATTAGCTTCTTTCCCCACTGACAAGGTTTAAATCCCCTCCTGCAGCATCTTCCGCACTGTATCCCTCTTCCATTTAAATGAGGGCCTCATCTATTTTCACTACTAGTGATTAAAAGCAGCATGTGAACTTTGCGTAAAAAGAGAGTGAGTTCTAACCTGTAGGCTGGACATAGTTGGTGCCTCAATTGCAGATGTTTAAAGAACAGATATGTATGAACTAAAATCGCTTGTTTAAAGAAGTGCCTATGTAGTTTTTGGCCAATCTCATTATTTGAATGGAACTGCATTTATAACTTTGGGATGGGCAGCCCTGGCCACCTGCTGATTCTTTCTCCCGACTGTTACACTTCTGTGCTTTCCTCGTTGCTGTCCTTCCAGATTTTATCTCATTTTCTGCAGATTTTTCCATAAGAACCCTTTCTTCAATGCCCTGAAGGGTCATCCTCAGAGTTCCTGTAGAGCTGTAGTAGTAAACATGATTAAAGAAAGAAAAGCTAAGTTGCTGCTGTTTTTATCTCTCAGACTTCTTTATCCCTTGCCGACACAAAGTCTCTCCTTTCTGTGTTTACTCTCCTCCTACTTAGTTTGGACTAACAGGGCAGAGGTCAAAGCAAGTTCAGAGTGGGGCACAAGATCAAAGTTCCTAAAGTCAAACGACCACAGGGTGGTGTAATTTCAGAGAAGGTGCTAGGGAAAGGCTCTTTCTGTAGTCAGTGATGAGTCTGTGCAAGCCTAAAAGTAGAAGGAGGAAGGAGTATTGTCCTCTCTAGCCTGAATGTCCCTCTTAATATTGGGTGGATGGATGCCATTGCCTAGTGCTGTATTGCCATTTTCTTATGGCACAGCCACCAAAATTCAGTTGTGTGAATTTCAAGGGCCCTTTTTTAGATATAAAATGGGGCAAGTAAACCATCTCACCATGAAAAAAAGGAAGGAAATACCTTTTTCCTGTTCTTTCCTTCTTTGGTTAGTACAGTACATAGCTCCTAAAAGCAAAACCCCTAAGGACTGGGAGATAACAGGAGGCATGGATCAAGCTATTCAGTGAATGATGGTATTAACCACACTGTTACAGACATTTAGTAGTTGCCCCAGAGGATACCAGTGCAGTGAATAAAACAGTAGCAAATTCAGGACTGTGAAATTCTGGTAGGGTAAAGCTTTGGGCAGCAAGAGTTTTGTGAAGACTCTGACCCTCTGCAGTGCTGCCCAGTGTCTGGTGGAGCTCCTGAAAAATGGTCACATTCCTCTCATTGCTGGCTGACAATCTGTTGGGGAATTCAGTTAAGCTAACTTGATGTCTCAAAGTGGTTAAAATACAGAGTAACAGGACCACTTGAGAAAGTGGCTTGGGACCACTTTCATATTTGAATCCTCTGTGAACCTCAGGATCCTCTTTTGTAGGGGAATTCTCTGCTGAAAAGCTGTTGATGTGTTGAGCTTCTCCCTGCCCTGTGACAGCTGGGAGAGCTTCTCTACAGGCTTGGCCAAGTAGGATGTGTCACAGTGGTCCATGAGAGGTCAGTGGTGGGTCTGGGGGCAGCCACTCACAGCAGCATCCTCTGAGTGCTGGAAATGTGGTCTGCTTTCCTGACTGCATGCTATCTCACCCAGCTGAGTCTAAGCCCACTATACAGCTTTCAGTGTATGCACAGCAGGAGTCAAAGACTGCAGTACTCACCTGAAGCATTTTTTTCACTCACTGGAGGAGTGTGCAACTAAATTTTACTCTCATCTGGAACTTTTTAGGGCTAAAACTGTAAATAACATACCTGCCAGGATCCCAGTGAGCTTCCCCATATAAGACACATTCCTGAGATTCTGCCACCACTAGCTTTAAAATCAAATTCTTCAAGGTTTTGGTTTGTTCTAACCATAAAACTGAGAAGCCAATGCAAGCAGTGTGGCTGCTTGGGGCCTGTGTCCTGTTTCTGTCCTGCAGGTACAGGCTCCATGCCTCTAGCATCCTCCCTGGATGGATGAATTGGGAATAACTGACTTCCCATGCCAGGTGTCCTTAGCTGTGTCCAGCTGATAAGTGTTCTTGAACTTAGTGCACTTTGTGGATACAGTGTGAAATCTCACAAGAAGGTTGAGAAGCCGAGCATGTTAATATGTTTTATATGGTTATGGAGACATTCAAAGCGGGAGGGAGGATAGGAACCCCTGACTTGCTGATCTTCCGATGAATGTAGGTGGTACCAAATGACCTCTGAAAATCCTAATGCTTGTAAAACCATAAGATAATTCAGGCTTCCTGGTACCTCAGGAGGTCTCCAGTGCAACTCTCTGCTTAAAGCAGTCAGCTATGAGGTTGGAGCAGGCTAATGAGTGCTTTGTCAGGGTCATCTTCCAGCTAAACTGGGGCCATGCTCACATTTTAAGGAACCAGACAAACATTACCATAAGGCTGTGTGAGTGATCAGTAGGTGTGTTTGTGGTTTTTCCACTTTGAAGTACACAGCGATGTGTCTTGTCCATATCAAGTGAATTTTCTTTTTTTTTTTTTTTTCAATGAAACATTTGAACTTTTTATGGAAAAAACCTTTTACTTCTGCTGGATTAAGACATCCAGATCACTTGTAAAAACCACTAGGGAAAGAAATTTTGGATTTCCTGGAAAGTGTTAGAGTAAGAGCTAGTGGTAGGAGGAGCTGGATGGCTTAAAGATTTAATTTCCTCCAGTGCCTGGGAAAATAGGAATGTGACTCACTGAACATCACCCCAACTGCCAAGCAGAGAAATTGTCTTAAGTATTTAAATGTGTAATGCCAAATAAAATAATTTTGACATTGACACCCCTCAGTGAGCTGCACAGTGGATACCTGGCCCCCAGGTTTAGATGAATTCCTGGTTATTCAAAGCAAAATATTGTCAACAAGAGCAATCTGTAAATTTGAGATTAGACCCATGTCTGTAGGAAGTGATGGATTGTATACTTTCAGGTAGGAGAAAAGATTTAATAAAACAAGAAGTCTTGCTTCTCTAACCAGTAGCTTTATCAGTGGTTTTAGCACTCAAACACATTTTTGGGGGAGATTTAGTTTTATGCTAACCCTGGATTTTTCTGCAGATGAAATTTTTTTGGTAAATTTTCAGATGTTTTTCAGCCTGTGATAGACACTTTTTGTTCTAAGCACTTTTTGATGAAAATACTCTTATATCTGGACAGTGAGAACAAACCTTTCATTGTGGGTAGCAGGAAGTTGCAGCTGCCTCAGTTAACTGAGGGCACTGCAGGTACTGTCTTGTGAATGAAAAGATCTTTTACTAATAAGTCTTATCTTCTTAAGAAGTCTACAGAGCTTCTGAATCCCTTATGGGCAGGAATGTAATGGGAAAGCAGGAAAAAATCCTGAATTACTTAGTACGTGTAACTGAACACATGAGTTAAAGCACATGGTGATGAGCATTTAGAAATAAAACCACTTTTTTGTTTCCTCCAAAGAAGTTTAACTTACAGTACACCTTAGTTCAAAACAAGAGGAGCTATACATGCACTTCATCCAGCTGTTTCAGTGGAAACACACTTTGATGTCTCTGCAGTTTTTAGAGTTCATTTCTCGGTGTCTCTTTGCTCAGACATGTACCAAGTGACATCCCAGCAGCATGCTCATGAGGGATATGACACAACTGGCAGTTAGTTTTGGTTTCTGAATCTGGTTCAGATCTCCTAATGTCTAGCTCACAGTTATTTAAGACACCAACTAATGATGAACAGGGTAAGTCCTGTTTTCCCATTCCTGCTCAAGTTTTATTACAATTGAGGTTTGTATACAATTAGGTTGGCATTTCTTTGTCTAGTGCAAGAACAAGTGGATGTAACCAGACAGGAGTAAATTTCTGGCCATTTGGCATGATCTAAAGTCTCCCATGCTATTTGATTTTACTTTGTATCCTATATAAAAGCTGGTGGGACATGGTTTTTTTTGGCATGTGTACAGCAACTGTGTACCAAGTCTTCAGAAAATTGTCTCAAACTGCTGAATCCAAGGGAAAAGGGAGCCAGAGAAATCAAATGCAAAGCACGTCTGGTGTTTGGAGGACTGGGTTTACGGTGCACATTAGACCTTCCTACATCATTCAATTTGCCATTCTAAATTAATTGTAACATACAAGTTAAGTTTAGGTGCTCTGCTATCCAGCACTATGTGGCATCCCCACAATTCTGAAGGCTGCTTCACACAGTGACCAGAGAACATGGGCCTTTTTTCTTTTATGTTTCTCTGCAGAGAAACTTAGAAACCTGTGGTTAAAAGAACTGTCCAAGACATTACCCAGTCTTTTAAAACTTGATATAGAAGGAAAAGAAAGGAGAAGGGTTGGGGGGAAACCACCTTGGGAATAACTGGCCGTAAATGTATGTGACTCATCTTCAGCCTCCAGTCCTACAGTAAATGCCCCCCAGCACTTTCTCCTGGGCCAGGTCAGGCCACAAAACACCCTAATCCCATAAGAGAAAAATTGGAACTAATCCACTGAAATGTCACAGCCAGTATGAAATGCATCGCACCAGACACATCTTTCTATAAATTGCTTAGAAGGGGTCATCTATCAGATGTATTTGCCTACATATCTCATTACCACACTTGTTAGTCTAGAAATGGTGAAAGAGGGCAGAAATTAGCAATCACTGGGGAAAAGCGCATTAATATTGCAAAGAAGGAGTAGTAGTGGCACGAAGTCTTAATTTAGCCCCTTTTTTTTTGACTGTATTTCAAAACATCTAGTTACATAATAGCATCCCATTCTTTCTGGGGGATGCTCTTCCCCTTCCCAGGGACAGGTTCCTGGGGCTCCTTTGGAGGTGTATTGTGTGCCTAAAATTATTGAAGGGGATGTCCTCCATGTAATCAAATTTGGGATTTAGCAATAATTTTACTTAGCAATAGTTTGCCCCCAGACCGTTTTCTGGGTGTAGTTTGCTGGCAGACATGCACAACTAGCTGCAGAGTTGTCCATGGTGAGAGATTTTTGTTAGCAAAAACTTGGCACGTGTAGATATCCCCAGCTCATAGCTGCACGCATTTCTACATTGTTGGTCAGTGGCTTATTGCATCTGGCACGTGACAGAGGTTAATGAAGAAATGGCACTCTTGAGTTAACCACAGATGTTTGCACTCTCACTTATCTGGGATACAGAGCCCAGCCCTGGGGCCTCTCCCTGCTGGGCACTGCTCACTTGCCCTGAGGCCACAGCACCCAAAAGCAGGGTAGCAAGGCAGCAGTGGAGGGAGCGCCTCTGTGCTTGTTGTGCCCATGGCTGGGTGGCACTGGGAGGGGATAGCATTACTTGTGGTAAGAAGATAACCTCCTCTGTGGACATACACCAATCTCTAATGAGCAGAGGTGATTTTTGGAATATAGTCAAGGCCATAGGTCTCTCACAGCTAAGGCACTGTTGAAATGCTCATGGTGTGCTAGTTCTTCTCTCTTTGAAAGCATCCTGTGAAATATACCCTAGTTAAATCTGACTTTCTTGTGGCAGAAAACACTGGAAATTACAAGTGCAAGTTTATGGGACATTTTAAAAAGAATGTGTGGGGAATGAAGACAAGTGATTTTGAAGCCAGAACAATCTGGGGATGCAAGCAAGGCTGTGATTGCAAGGCAGGACCTTTTATTAGATCACTTCCTATGACTAGAAGAAAGAAGAAAAATTTTAAATGTTTTATTTTTTTCTTTAGGTTGGAAATTGAAGTATTTTACGCATGTTAAATGTAATTTCTCTGGATATATTGACTCTAGACAATAATTTTGACAATTTAAGGCTTATTTGTTACTTGTGGTGCAAAGAGTATAAGCAAAGAGGCAGTGTTAAGTTCATGAGTCCCATGGGACAAAGGTAGAAAAGGGTGGTTGTTATAATTAAAACACCATTGTTGTGATTCAGAGACCATCTGACAGCGATGCAGGATCATGTACCAGTAAAGCCCATGCCAACAATGCTTACAAAAATTGAACTAAACGGAAGGTTTGCATTTACGTCAGATCCCAGCCAGGGCACTGGGTAGGGGAGAGGAAATTGACTGGTAAATGGAAAAGGAACTAAGCAAAATTGGCAGGGACAGAAATGTTATTTTCCAGCCCACAATAGGATATGACAAACAATGGATGTAACTTACAGTTATTTATAAAAAAGGTCCTTTTGGAGCAGTGACCTTCTCACCTAACTTCTGTAGATGATGGAGGTTCACCCCTCCAGGGGGAAGGGGTAATTAGAGACTATTTTAGGTTTAATTCTTCATTCCTCCCTTGTCTAGGCTATGGGAACCTGAGCCCCAGCACTGCAGTTGGTCGAATCTTCTGCATTGTGTTTGCACTTTTTGGGATCCCCTTGAACCTTGTACTCCTGAACGAAATTGGGCACCTGATGCTGCTTGGGGTTCAGCATTGTGCCCGTCACCTGGAAGAGGTGTTTCACTGGCAGGTAAGCAGTATGGACAGGCATACCTCAGAGAAAAAAAGACAGGGGACATTGTCTGGTATTTGAGATCCTATGACTAACAAGGAAAGGCTGGCTGATTATTTGACCAAAAAGGCAATAATACTCAGGAATAACTGGAAGCAAATAAATTTAGGCTATGACAGCCCTATGAGGTGTCAGATAAGGTTGTTTATTAATTGAAGGAAATTCTGTGATGAATGACTTCCCCTACAGCAACAGAAGTGATAAAGCATGTGAGCAATGCACAATCCTAGACTATCTAGTCTGTTTATCATCAGCTTTAGTGAGAATTGCATGTATAAATTACATGGGAACATTTGTAGAACAGGCTTTAAACTGGCATGAATTTAGGACTTATGAAGGTGATACCCAATTTGTGTTGGCTTGGTGTCAATGTTTAACCTCAGCTGGCATCTAAGCACCACGCAGTTACTCACCCTTTCCCAGTGGGATAGGGAAGAGAATCCAGAAGAGTAAAAAAACTCATGGGTTGAGGTAAAGACAGTTTAATAAGTAAAGCAAAACTTGTGCACACGAGCAAAACCAAAAAAAGGAATTTGTTCACCACTTTCCATCAGCAGGCAGGTGTTCAGCCATTCCCAGGAAAGCAGGACTCCATTATGCATAACACTTACTTGGAAAGAAAAACTCCATCACTCTGAACATTCCCTGCTTCCTTCTTCCCTCAGCTCTATATGCTGATCATGATTCCATATGGTATGGAATATCCCTTTAGTCACTTGTGCTCAGCTGTCCTGGCTGTGTCCCTTCCCAAATTCCTGTGTATCCCCAGCCTACTCACTGGAGGAGTGGGATGAGAAGCAGAGAAGGCCTTCAACACTGTGCAGGCACTACTCAGCAACAATAAGAATATTCTGTATTACCAACACTGTTTTCAACACAAATTTAAAGCACAACCTCCTACTAACTACTGTGAAGAAAATAACCATCCCAGCTGAAGCCAGCACACATGTAGAACAGATACACTGTTTGTTGCAGTGGAATTGAATGAATGTTTGTATGCTTTTGTGGAGTCCATCATCATATTATCATCATCTCCAACTGGAAAATAAGCTGGACTTTCCTTGCTGCGCTTCTTGGGCAATCTTTTTATTTGGTTTTTTTTTTTTTTTTTCTTCCTCTTTTACTAGAATAAAGCTTCCTTCCTGATGAAGACCTGTGCACTGGTAACTGGCTTGTTATTGTTCCTCCTGCTACCTCCCTTGTTATTCTCTGACAAAGAAGGCTGGTCTTATGAAGAAGGCTTCTACTATTCCTTCATTACCCTCAGCACTATAGGGTTTGGAGACTATGTGATTGGTGAGTAGTTCACATTTTGTTGCTTTCACCTGCTGAGCAGCAAATCCGGGACATAGAAAGCTCCCCAGTGGCAATTTGGCACCAGTAGCAATCCCCAGACCTGATGATCAGTACGTTGTGGTGTGCATTTGGCAGGGTGGAAAAGACATGATTTCTACCATAGCAATGCCACCTGTGGAAAGGCAAAGGCATTGTTTCCCAGTCAGTAAGTGGCATTAAAGTGGCCTGTCCCTTGGGTGACTACATCACCAGGCAGGAGTGCTGTGGTTTAATCACAGTGGTTGCTGAGGGCACACTTATCACACTCCAGTGCATTGGCACCCATTAGTTTTATGCAGATGCAACTCTGCATCTTCATTAACAGACAGGGACTGGTTCTTCTGTCAAAACCCTAGATAACTACATTCTAAAAGACAGCTGAAGTCACTTAGGTATAGACTGTCAGGCACCAGGCACTACTTAGTTTTGGATGCCAAAACCCTTTGCTGGAGGAAATGGGATTGGGTCCACACCCACTACATTTGCTGAAACACAGGACACACCTCTTTGATAAAGACTTTCTCATTAAAAACAAATTGATTATAGAAACACATGCACTCTTGAATTCCTGAGAGACAGAAAGACTAAAACATCCTATTACGGAATTGCTATTTTCTTTTCTTCGTAGCACTTGCTTGATGCTTAGACAACGTAGTGGCAGTTACCTTAGGACTTGTCTGTAATGCATCAAAGTTATGATTAGAGCTTGTGTAGGCACATGTAAATAAGTTAGGAATAAAGTTAGCTTGGGCAAGGATAGCCAGATGGAGCTTGACAAAAGCTGGGTCAGCTCAGTGTTTTCCTATACTGATTTTACAGATGATGCTGAACTCTGGGCTACAACAGCTTTACTTCTCTCAGTTTCTGGTAATGAATTTGGTATTCCTTCCTCTTCCAGGTGTGCCTTCACCTGTGTAGTACCTTTGTAACTGGAATACTGCCATAGAGACACTAGGTTTGGTATGGGAATAATTGAATATGTCAATTGTGATATGTAGAGGCTAAACAATTTTGCCTTACAATCCTGTATGTGTGGTTTATGGCTCAAAAATGAGGTTGAAGTGACCTTCACACTGTTTCCCCACTAGTGTGATACAGAGCTGGGAGGAATGTAGGGAAGCATCTCTGCAGAAAAGGACCTGGCAGTCCTGATGGGCACCAAGTGTCCATGATCCTGCAGAGAGTGTCTCTGTGGCTGTGAAGGCCAGTGATAATGTCAAGCTGTCTTCCAAGGTTTGGTTGTTCTTGGAGGTTTTAGAACTGCTCAGGCTTCTCTTCTCCTCCTCTCAGAGACTCTCTTGCTTATATCTGGTTTTACAAGATAGGTATAGTGGTACATAAAACCTGCTTACCTCTCTGCCTGCAGGGACCTCTGTTACATGCGAATAGAATATTGTTGTGCTGAGTCATAAGCAGAGAAACTAAACTGTGTGCTTGAATGTGAATAATTATACTTTGACATGGATGTAATTAGTTTTCTTTCTTATGAGTGATATTTGTAATTCCTAAGGAGTACTAGGCTGTTGCTGACACATCATGAAACATACTTACAACATCAGTTCACACGCTAAGTAGGTGGCATACTTGTGTTTTATGTAGAAATCACTAATATTCAGTGATATTTCAACTGTCTTTGCTTTACATGTAATGTCTCCTTTGAGACACTCTTGATCCAATGTAGAAATGTTTTGGGTAATTCTGTTGTAGGGATGAACCCAGATCGCACCTATCCAAGCTGGTACAAGAATGTAATCTCTCTGTGGATCCTCTTTGGGATGGCCTGGCTAGCACTGGTTATCAAATTTTGCATCAACATTCTAGAGAGCTCCAGTGACTTCTGTCAATGCAACAAGAAGAACACAGAGATGGCCGAAGATTTAATGGATGGCAACAAAAATAGCATGACTGGACTTCAAAATGCGGAGATCTGCAGTGACAAAGACACAAAAATTAAGGGACCAGTTGAATCTCACTCTTACACAGCTCCTACAGAAACCATCTAGGGAAGAAAAATATTCTCGTTGTCCTGTAGGTTTTAGTGCACCAGAGATGAGCAATTTAGAAATGTGTAAGTGGAGCTGCCCTGACCTGTGAATGGGATGAAAGTTTGTTTATTGAGCTTGAAATGCTTTTATTTTGAATTGATCAATGACAGAATGTTTCATTTCCAGCACCACCAAGTACTACCAACAGGACTCTTAGCCAAAAGTAGATTTATGGAAATATTACCTGCCTTTCCACCTCAATCTATGAGGTAATCTTTGACATCCCCGAGCAACACGAGCTGTTGTGCATTTCTTTGCATGATCTTGCAGCCTCTAGCTACACGTATGGCACTTTGCATATGCCACAGCCATAAAAACAAGTGCCATTTAATGCAGGAAATAAATGGCATATTGCCAAAAGAAATGAAAAGAAATGAAAAGCACTGTTTAAAGCTATCTGGCAGTCATGGCAGATGTGCACCGTCACCTATGTACTTGTGCTTGTGAAAGGTGGTAACAAGGTTTTGCTCTCTGATTGTTCATATGAGGATGGCAATGCAGAAGAGCTCATGGAGGGACCTGATAGAAACAGATCATTCAATTTTTTAAAAAGTAATTTCTACATTGGCAGTCTGCTAACAGAAGGAAACTGGATATGCTATTCCTTACTTCAGAACTTATGTGGGTTCATTCTTTGAAGTATTTTGCAGACCAAATGTCATCAGCTCAATGCAGCAGTTCATTTAGATAGATTTGTATTTTGTCACATCTTGGAAGTCAGAAAAGGAGGACTAGAACAATTTTAAAAGTCAGTGGTTCCAACGTTTTCCTACCACCAATATTAACAAGGACTCCTTCAGTCTAGAAACAGACTGAATTTTCTTCAGCTATGATCAAGAGATGCTATTGTGATGAACTTCTCATGTCATGAATGATTAATGTACCTGATCTATCTAACATCTTATATCAACTGTCTTTGATCTGTAGAATGACATGCTTATTTGGCCTTTGTGTCAGTCATGAAACAGAACTTGGTTGGGTCTTTTTATTTCCATTAAATTCTCAAAAATATTTTGACATTTTATGCCATTTATAAAGGCACAACAGAGTCTAACTCCTGGTGCTGTTTGCATTCCGTTATCTGTTCTTCTCATTTTGTTATTCCTGTTGTGCGATTTGCATCTTAAGCATTAACTTTGAAAACTTCACCATGGCAGCAAACCAGAATGAAGCATTTGGTTGAGCCTTCAGCTTTTGCAATGAACCAAGGTTCCGTGGGGTTGTTAGAGAAAAGACTGAAAACAGAGTCTGTTAGAGTATGGGACTGAGGAATTAGAAATATCCATATCTATATTCACAGAAATGGAGTGAGTGAAAAGCATACAGTCTTCAGGAACACAAGTTCTGAAACATAGATTGTGAAAAAAGTGTTTCCAGAAGAGGTCTGATATTGATATCTGGTGGAACTGATTACAGGAAAAAATGCAGCAAAGGGATCAGCTGAATGAAATTCAGTCTGTTGACCTTTTTCTGATTCCACAGTAGTAAATGTTCTCTCAAATACTGTTTGAAGGGGCAAAGATGAGGAAGTGAGACAGTGGACCTCTTGGATCATACTGATGCAAAATAAATATATTTCAAATTTTTGAACACTGGGTAATTTCATTAATAGCCTTTAGCACAAAATTTCTGTTCCATGTTTTGTCTTGCTTATGGATACACAATGCAGGTTTTACTGGCCTATGTGAAGAAGAAAGTGTATTTCTTGAAACACGAGTAAATTACAATTCACAAAATGTGATACCCTTTAATGCGTAATGCAAAACTTGGTAAGTATAGGTGTGTTGTAAAATCGGGGTGCCCAGGAGGTAGTAGAGTTTCTGCTGTCAAAGCACAGGAATGACTATGTTAATCTGTTTCAACTTTTACTTGAAATGTCACAGACTCTGGGAATATCTACCAAATCTGCTATTTGATAAGAAGGCTTATAGAAGATTTGAGAAGAATTTCTTCTTTTGGATTTGAATGTCTATTATATTAATATCATTTAATTAATGTTCTCATCTATTTTTAAGCTGTGGATGGGGTCTTCAAAAGTGACTTTGAAGTTTAGGCACCCTGGTCCCACTGAAAGCAGAATTACATATCTTTGGGCAGCTAATGTGTATTTCTGAAAGGCAAAGGGGAGAGGAACTCAAGGAATAGTCTTGGAAAAAAAGGTTAAAAGCCTTTTGCAGATCTCAGTGCTTCCACTGTATGTCAGGGTTCAGCCACAGACTTAGGCATGTGGCTGGGTCTCAAGATGCCTCATTATCTGCTCTAGCTGTCCTTTCTGAGTCACATCCTCCTGCAGCCCTGCTGCCCAGCCACTCACCACCAGCAGAGTCCTGCCACCCACACTCTGATATCCCATATTTTATGGGAGGCACGTCAGAACTGCTGGCAAACCACATGTACCTCCAAAGCCGAAAGTTCGTGCTTGGATTTTAGCTCACCAAAAATTTAGGAATAAATGAGTCAAATACTATCTCTGGCTGGGTTCTCTGACACTGAATTAGCATGTTGCCTCTTATGAATACCCTTTTTCTGAGAATTCTTCTCAGCTGGCTTTTGATGCGGACAATAGATATTGGTATATCTGAGTCCCTGCAAAGTGCTGTGCCTCTGGTCTTTCTGTTCTTTGTAAAGATGTGTTGTGGTTAAATTATGTGAATGTATTTGTTCCCAGGGGGATGAGAAGAAAGTGGAGTTTTGCAACATCGCAAAAACATAATCATCAATGTGTCTACTATACCAAAATATGAAAGGTTATCTTCTCAAGGGTAAAATAAAGAAAACAAAAGCATGGTCCTGTTATCATTCTTGTCACAGCTGATTTGCAGTCTTCTCTAGTCTGCATTGGAAAATAACAGATGCTCCTTGATTGGGCTTTTTTGTCTCTTTCTGTTCAGATAAGTATGCAGTTGTCATTAGCAATTTCAAATTGACTTTCACTACTATTTTTCTCCTCAAGTCAATTTTTCCTTATTATCCTGTTTTCTTCCTTGGGAAGAGCAGAGGTTGGAAACAGGTTTGGTTAGTAGTGGTAGTTGTAAATATTTATGTAAAATCACTCTCCAGAGGCTTTTTCACAATCACGTAGAGCATAATGTGCTTCTGACCTTTATACAGTTTCCCAGGAAGTCAATCTCTTGAAGCAAGAAAATAGAGAGGGAGCTATCTCCCCTACTTCAAGGAAAAGTTCTGGCTTCAACCTCAGTGTTTCTTACACTGGCTCTTTCTGCTAGGCCAGAAGAGATGTTTACTCCTTGGGGAGTGATGTGCCCAGAAGGCCACAACAGCATGTCACTGCAACGTAGTACAGACTGCTCAGAACTGCACAGTTTTTGTCTAGTTGACTACAATACTTTGAGGTCCCTAGTGCAGAACAAAGAGGCTCTTTTCCCATGATGGTTTATGGCTTCAAAAAAAGTCCAGAATGTTATTTTCTTGCAGTGTATGGCTGATGATATCTTGTCTTACAACTGATATTCTAGATCAGTTTAGAACTGAAAACTGTTAGCCTAGAGGAGGTTCAGGAGGCTATCATCAATGTGTCTAAATATCTGCAGGGAAGGTGTGAAGAGGATGGAGTCAGGCTCTTTTTCAGTGGTGCCCTGTGACAGGGAAAGAGGCAATGAGCACAAACTGAAACACCAGGAATGAGGATGACCTAGCATATATTCCTTGGAGAGGTGGTAGAGTTTCCATCCTCAGTGATCTTCAAAAGCCATCTCTAAGTGATCCTACTTGAGCAGGGGAGTTTGACCAGATGATGTCCAGAGATCCCTGGCAACCACAACCATTCATGTTTATGCATTTTAAGTTCAAACCATCCTCCTCCTAGTAGTCCACTGTACACAGCCTTCCCCTCCCTCCAGACTGTCTCTATTATTATCCAGGTTGCACTGCCAACAGGCCTAGTAGACCTTCCTGCAATTTTGTAGATGCTAATCATTCTTTATCTCACAGGCAGAAATGCACTTTGTAAGAAGGATGGTTCAGAACAAATACAATTATTTGGGAGTAGGGAGGGTGTCTTGTCCATGTGTTAGATACCATTGTACCATTCCAAAAACATGTAATGGTGTTCAGCTTTTCAGGTTGGTATAGCCTCCTGTCAGTATTTTCTATCTGCCTGCAAGTTCTAGAAGATGGATTTGGTGCTTCATCTCTGACACTTCAGGTAAGGCAAACCTCATTCTGGTTTACCCTTTCTAAAGTAGAGGCTTACATTGGTACAGATGGCTACTTACCAATAGAATTAGGGCAAAATTTTAATGTACTGAGGTCTTATAAGCTTATCATCCATGTAAATAAATATTCTGTCTGATGGAAAAGGTGAATGCAATAAACAAATGGTCTTTTTCAGTACTGTTAATGACATGGCCTAGGAAACTGTGTACTTGATAGTGTTTCCCCTTCCAGTGATCCTGGCAGTGGGTGAGGTAGTATCAGGGCAGATAATTTTTGTGATTGCCGCTGAGCACCTTTTTGGTCTTAGAAGTTTTTTTCTTCTCAAATAAGTATGTAGAAACTTACAGATGAAATGGACTTGGGTCTGAACATCTGGGCAGCTGTCACGCTGGATGGTCCTGGGCAAAGATTCAGAAGTTTCTCTCAGTGATTGCAATGGAACAAAACCTATGCCCTGAAAAATCTTGATTTCTCAGGACTGATATTTAACTGGATGTTTAGGTGGGTTTTTTTCAGAGAGAAACTGATAAGCATTTAATCTAGTACTAAACAGGTGGAGAGGATCTCTGGTACCTCTTAAGTCAATGTGTGTTGCAGTAAGAGCCAGTGAAAAGCTATCACTGTTGGAGGAGACAGCAGCAACATGAATTACCATGCTCTTAAACTCTTTATGTTAAGTGAAGATGTGGTCCTCAAAATTTCCATTCAAATTTTTAACTAAGATACCTTTATTTTTAAGGGAAGTTGTACAAGAAAACATTTCTAGTAGACAATTGATAGATCTATATTTCTTGAGTCTGGGTACTGCAGCTACCTCTTAAGGCAGAAGCAATGCAGTGTAAATTAGAGAGGCTTTGAAAATGTTTTAATTTTTATGGTAATATGTAGCCTGTTTCTTCACTGCTACTGAGTTAAACTCACTGGAACATAGGATGTAGTTCTCGAGTAATAGGAGATTCCAAACTCTCTAAATTAAAACATGAGCATGCTTACCAAAGAAAGCTATACCAAATTAAAACAGAAAGGGAAGGAAAATAACAGGAAAGAAAATGTTGAGGAGAAAAGGCTGTGGAGTTTATTATTCATTTCTAAGGAACCTGGTTATCAAATTTGAT